ATGGATAAAAAAAATATGATTTCGCTGGCCAGTTGAACACACAAACATTGATGCACCTGCAGGATAATATCAGATCTATGTGCAAGAATGACAAAAAGAAAATGGATAAAGATGGGTTTGAAGACATTGATTTCTGGATGTCTTTGGCTGAAAAGAGACGGAAAGTGAAAGAAAAAAAGGGTGTAGAGAAAGTGGAAAAAAGGGAACGTTTCAGTGCGTTTGACCGTGAGAAGAATGAGGGAAACGTTATGTTTCACAGGAGAGAGGATGATGAATCGGGTCCGGTAGGTATACAGATAGGAGGAAAACAGAAAGTCGAGAGAGAGAATGCGTTTGAGATGACATCCACAGATACTGTTACGCCATCATTATATCCGCCTATTCCAACATCTTCTCCTTTTCCACCATCCCCTCCACCCTCTTACAGAGGGGGCCGTCCAATGGCCACCAGGGGAAGGGGGGATTTGGAAGTGGAGTTTTCAAGAAATTGGGGAAGTGTTTTTTCCCCTGTTGCGACAAAGGTTGACTCATCTGGAAGCGGAGTACGAGACGCTTTTCCCATGGTTGAGGTTGCAAATCCAAACATAAATGATGAGTCGCCTGTCATTCTTGTTTATAGAACATGGACACAAGAGGATGTTAAGAAAGCCGTAGATGGCATTACATCCCATAAAATTGATGTGATACAATTTGTCCATGAAATGGAGGATCTGCGGAGATCATATCATCTAAATGGGGCTGAGGTGCAACAAGTTTGGATGGCGGCTTTGCGGGGTGATTGGCATAGTGTAAGAGGAGATTGGGACCCCAAGCAGGGGGGCATGATGCTTCCTCATGACAGCAGTGAATTGACAAATAGGGTTCGAGATTTGGCCGGACGCATGCAAGATAGATATAAGCAGAGAGCAAATTATACTACCATCAGTAGGGCAAAACAGAAAGATAGCGAATCTTTTGAGGATTATCGAACCAGAATGACTGCCTGCTTTAAGGCCAACAGTGGGTGGCCTAAGATTCTCTCAGAAGGGAAACTTTAAAAAAAATCACCCAAGAACCCACACTGGTAAGAAACCTTTGCCTGTTCAGATTGTGGCAAAAGATTCCATCGGAAGACACACCTTCGAGGACACACAGGAAGCCAGAATGGTAAGAAACATTTTTCCTTCTCAGATTGTGGGACAAACCGACTGGTAGTCTTGAGCAGTATATTAACCAGGCGCTGCATGCAGAGAGGATTTTGCAAGCAAAAAATAAGAGATCCGACAGCTTCCTTATGGGAAACGAAATGATGTACAAAGAGCGTGGCCGTGGGGCTGACAACAGGGGCCGCCATCGGAGCAGAGGAATGTCAAAAGTGAGACGAGAGACAGGTCCAAGGGAGGTGGTTTGTTGGTGTTGTGGAGAGAAAGGACACATTTCCCGTGACTGTCCTAAGAATAAAATTGTGAGTGCATGACTAGGCATGCCTGCGTCTCAGCAAGAGATAACAACTTATGACGCAGATGAAGAGTTGGAAGTTGCACTAAATTTGCAAGAGATCTTGGCGCTAGATTCTATTCACCCTGAAGTAACATTAATGGTTAATGGTAAAGAAATTACTGGAAACCACCAAGACGAATCAAAAGCAGATGGCCTCTTAGCTCCACTATCAGATAGTGACATGTCGTCAAATGATGATGATGAGGATGAAAATGATGAGTCTGAAGGTGATCTGACATGTCACACTGACAACAAACCCTGGAAATGTTCTCAGTGTGGGAAGATGTTTACTTGTCAGAGTGCTTTGAAAATGCATGTGAGAATCCACACTGGTGAGAAGCCTTTTGCCTGCTTAGTTTGTGGCCAAAGATTCTCTTGTAAAGAAAACTTAGATGATCACAAAAGAACCCGCACTGGTGAGAAACCTTTTGCCTGCTTGGTTTGTGGCCAAAGATCCTCTCGGAAGGGAACCTTAAAAATACACCCTATTCATGCTCAGTTTGTGGTCAAAGATTCCCCCAGAAAGGGACACTTAAACATACACGCAAGAACACACACTGGTGAGAAACCTTTTTCCTGCTTAGTTTGTGGCCAAAGTGTCTCTGAGAAGGGAACCTTAAAAATACACACAAGAACACTTACTGGCGAGAAATCCTACTCGTGCTCAATTTGTGGTAAAAGATTCCCCCAGAAGAGAACCTTAAAAACACACACCAGAACACACACTGGTTAACAACCTTTTGCCTGTTCAGATTGTGGCCAAAGATTCTCATAAGGGAAGCCTAATTAACCACACAAGAACCCACACTGGCGAGAAACCTTTTTCCTGCTCAGTTTGTGGCCAAAAATTCTCTGAAAAGAGAACCTTAAAAATACACACCAGAACACACACTGGTGAGAAATCTTTTGCCTGTTCAGATTGTGGCCTAAGATTCTCTCAGAAGGGAAACTTTAAAAAAAATCACACAAGAACCCACACTGGTAAGAAACCTTTGCCTGTTCAGATTGTGGCAAAAGATTCCATCGGAAGACACACCTTCGAGGACACACAGGAAGCCAGAATGGTAAGAAACATTTTTCCTTCTCAGATTGTGGCCAGATATTCTCGTGGGAGTCTCAGATGAAGAATCACAAGTGTGATGACGAGATGAACAGTTATCAATGAAATTTTCCGCTCCCGTCTAAATAGTAATTCATCGACCTTATTATTTAGATGCTGCCGTTTTCTTTTCCTTGAGTGCACTGAAAAGTGTTTTTTTTTTGGTTGTAAACCACCACTCTGGATGAAAATAATCAAAGAAAGAAACATCCACCACTAATATGTGATGATGGTCATGTCACATTTTGAGTTTTAATCTGAACTAATCTAGCTCTCTGAGTAACATTCATTGTAATTATAAACGAGAATTCCATGGGTGTTTTTGTCGTCTTGTGTCTTGCAGATATCAGCGAAGATGCTTGTCCTGAGCGGCTGGATGCAGAGCC